ATGCTCTTAATTTCTAATTCACTATGGATTCATGTTGATTTGTCTTGATATCATCACATTTATCATTATCTTATTTTACGAACGATTTTTTAAATTATATTCGCTTTAAGTTATAACTTGCAAGTCAAATAAAATATTCCAGTTTGTCGCCAGATTCTCATCACGTTCACTATCACGTTACTTACATCACTTGCTTTACATTCACCACGTTATTAGTACTCACCGTTGTTTACTCATAATTACCACAGTGAGTCATCACATTTCGAAATCCTAATGCTTTCAGTCACCACAATCTTTAGTCACCACACTTACACCACCATAGTTCTTACCACACACGCCAGCCTACTAACCCGAAAATCACAACAACGCCACAATATATATATATATATATATATATATATATATATATATATATATATATATTTTTTTTTACCACCACACTTCACCTCAGTATTTACAATGACCACACGTCACCTCAGTATTTGCAAAGACCACACTCATCTCAGTATTTACAATAACACGTCATTCCAATATTCACAACGACCACACGTCACCTCATTATGCACAGCCATAGTATGTAACATCACAATCACCACACATCACCACACATCACTGATATTTACAATCGCAAAAAAAAATAATCATATAACATTCACAATCACCTCACGACGTCATCACCAAGGTAACGGCCATGACTTAAAAAAGGTCATTCACACTCCGCCCGTCAAGTTCTAAGCCGAAAGTTCAAGCTCAAGGATAGGACTAGAGAGAGGGAGGGAGGGAGAGGGAGAGGGGAGGGAGGGGGAGGGGGAGAGAGAGGGAGGGAGAGAGAGAGAGAGGGAGGGAGAGGGAGAGAGAGAGAGGGGGGAGAGGGAGAGAGAGAGAGAGAGAGGGAGGGGGGGAGAGAGAGAGAGAGAGAGAGAGAGAGAGAGAGAGAGAGGAGAGAGAGAGAGAGAGAGGAGAGAGAGGAGAGAGGGAGGGAGGGAGAGGGAAAGGGAGGGAGGGAGAGGGAGGAGGGAGGGAGGGAGTGGGAAGGGAGAGGGAGGGAGTGGGATGGCCGAGAATGTGGTCTCGATCTTTCAACGGATAGGCCCAAGACGGGGGGGAGGGGGGCGTGTGTGTGTGTGTGTGTGTGTGTCTCCAACCATATTACTTCACACCGATTTCAACAATTTCTCTGTTCAAGACCTTAAACAATTTTGTTTTTATCTTACCGTAGTTAGAGCGTTCACGTTTCCTAGAGTGACGTTGCACATTGCACTAAACAAACAATGGTGTTCTGTGTTAACATTTATCAACAATTCATAATTTACGTCTAATTTATTGCAATGCAACATATAAAAAAGCATATGTTCAGAGATATAATTTTGATCCGTCATAAAATTCGAAAAAAAAATATAGCATTAGATATGCATACAATCAAATACAAACCAAATTACAAATTACAAACACACAGCATCCCATCATTTCGAAGACAAATCTATAAAAGCTTCATGTAAGAGATTAACACAGGACACTCCTACGCTCGTTATTGCAATAGAAAGAAAAGTGATGTTTATAGTCAAATATTCCAGTAACTATAGACCTTTTGGTGAAAAGATTCTTCGTCTTTTACAGGAGCTTACATGTACCTTTTCACGAGGAAGGTCCTTCACTGGAGGGCTACCGATTATGGGCTTTGGGTCACCTACAAGAACCTGATGGCTGCTCTAGGTGAGTACTATTTACCGGGCTTTGTATGTACATTATTCTAATGTTTATGTGTTTTTCAACTAGTTTCTTTCTCTCTTCGTTTCTTTCTCTTCCGCTTTTTTTCTTCTTTCTTTCGTTCGTTATCTATTTACTTATTTCTCTCTCTCTCTCTCTCTCTCTCTCTCTCTCTCTCTCTCTCTCTCTCTCTCTCTCTCTCTCTCTCTCTCTCTCTCACCCTCCCTCCCTCCCTCCCTCTCTCTCTCTCTCTCTCTCTCTCTCTCTCTCTCTCTCTCTCTCTCTCTCTCTCTCTCTCTCTCTCTCTCTCTCTCTCTCTCTCTCGCCCTCCAGGACAGAGAAACCTACACAATGACGGTTCATTTTAAATTATTACTACTACTCCTACCACGCACACACACGCACACTCTCTCTCTCACACACTCACACACACACGCTTAACCCCAAACTTGTAAATGAGAGGGTGAAAGGTAAGATTTATAAAGGTAAAAAATGTCGTATGTTCTGTGTATCCGTCTCTCCTTCGCTCTCTCTCTCTCTCTCTCTCTCTCTCTCTCTCTCTCTCTCTCTCTCTCTCTCTCTCTCTCTCTCTCTCTCTCTCTCTCTCTCCCTCTCTCTCTCTCTCTCCCTCCCTCCCTCCCTCCCTCCCTCTCTCTCTCTCTCTCTCTCTCTCACTCACTCACTCACTCTCTCTCTCTTCCTTTCTGTTCATTTTTTTATTCTTTTTTGTCTATTCTTATCTATCTATCTCTTCCTTTTCCTCTTCCCCTCCCCTTCTTCTTCTTCTTCCTCT